GTAAACACAGATGGCACAAAAAAAAGAACTCCTTTTCTATGTTCTTTTAAAACCTTTTTATGGAAAGACCGCTCTAGCCTTAAAGGGAGCTTCTACAGAGCCATTCTACTGTACATGCTCATCCTGTACTCTCATTCACCCTGCCTTTGAAGCTATAGTACTTCAAAAGTAGATACACTTTTAAGATGTCTCTGTACCGTTCTTACAATATGTTCACATGAGGTCTGCTGTTGTCTGAAATACTGGTCGAGAAGGTGGAACCCCACACGTCATGTAAGGAGAAAAGCAAAGGATTCAGGTGATGGAGAACTGTGCCATTTATAGTTTCAGAGTAAGAGGAGCTACATTTACTGAACACAGGTCTTTGTTCCTAAAACACAGAGGGAGAAAGACCTTCCTCATGGAGTTCTGGATAACTGTCCAAGAGGATATTTGCTTTGTCCAATGAACACCCCTGACACGGAACACTGGACTTGAGGTTGGTGTTGAGGCCCCAGAGGGGGCTGGAGAAGGGGCAACGAGGCCAGTGCGATCCTCTACACCAAATCACAGCCAGCCTTCATGCACAGCAGGACACTGCCTGAGGTCCGACTATTACAATGTGAATTTAAAGCTCAAACTAAAACCCTTATTGGAAGCTAATATCCAGCATGTCTGTCATCCAGCATTTCATTAAAAAATAACACTGCTAACCTCCATTTTTTCCTTTTTATCAAAACATTAATTTCAATCTCACACTGTTCCCACCAAAGACTAATGAGATGTTTTCATAAAAATAAAATAATGAAGCGTTACAATGAAAAAAAAAAAAAGAACGCACACATTCATGAGGGTCACCCAGGACGTGAATGAAAGGGCACACATTTTATCCCCTTCTGTCAAAATGATCTTGATAACCAATTGTCGTGGGGCTTTGTTTAGCAGTTTTAGAACTGCAGCAAAATAAAATCTCACAGCATCGTAACTTCCATCGCTCCCTGTGGTCATTCATTAAAGAACGCAAGGCATTGCTTTCTAGGTGATGCTTGAACCTGAGCCCTGTGTGCGTGCTTTTCTTTATTATAACTGAAGACAAGAACTGGATAATTTGTAGTATTTTGCATGAGACGATCAAGGGGATTTCTCACAGACAGAGTCTAAACAAGCACAAAATCAGGGCTTGGGACCACAAAGGGTTACAACTGAAACTGGGAAAAAAACGCAAGACAGTAAGGTCGGTCATTCAAGGAACTAAAACACAAAAAGGCAAATGTGAATAAATACCATTATATTTTGAATAGAATTCCGCTACAGACAGTAATTAAATAGATGCTACCTTTTGAAGCACATTCACTTGACAGAAATATCACCTGAGATGCGCCATCAGCTTCAGTTAAACCATCAATAATTGTTCAGGTCTGTCATACTGTATGTATACAATAAGGAAATTGTATTAAACTGCTCCAATGGCCAGCTTTGTTTACCCAGCTTGCTTGTATATCAAATCAAACCAAAACCACAGAGATCAAAAGAGCAAAAAATATAGAATGTGTGTATATATACTTTCTATGTAAGAAACGTTCTGCAGCCTTATCAGACAATGTTCCCCCCATTGAGCTGAGACACCACTGGCTGTAGCTGCAGCTTCTGTGATCTGACGTGGCTTCAGTCTCGGTTCAGTCTCAGGAAAGAACTTGAAGAGGTAGACAGCAGGTAAGGGGGGTCATTTAACTACAGCAGCATTGTGACAAAACGACTGCGAAGATCAGTAAGATTCATACACAGAATGGCAACCACAGCAACAGAATGTTAAGACCAGGATTTGCATCAAAATAACCAATAGGCGTGTAGTTAACTGCATCTCTTGCTTTTACTAATTGTTTTTCTTTTCTTCATCATGGAAGGAATTAATGCAGTTCTCAGTGTGCATATTATCATTTGCTGAAGGTATAACAATTCCAGCAAAAACACCTTCTGACATTTCTGGACTCCTCTTTCAAGTCACAAGAAGTTTTTCAGAGCTGCTTTTGCTGGAGTGGTTGGCTACCACTTCACACTTCAGGAAAATGACTACACGCTGAGAGACTCTTTCCCTTCACTTAGTTCATCCCCTGGTGCATTGACAGACAAGACAGAAATATTGTCATGCACATCAACTGTTTAACAATTTGTCATTTTCATTCTATTACTGCCCAATTTGTAATCAACACGTTTTCTTTAAACCTTCGTAGGCAAACTGTGTTCTCCTCAGGCAAGGAAGGACAGAAACTCTCTTCTAACCAGCACATCCCCTGAGCTACAGCAATCCCTCTTTTTAATGGACTAATAGGGAGAAAGGGGTGTTTGTTATCGCCAAATGTCTGTTAAATCACTAATAAGTAGGCAGAGGAATCCTACTCCGTTGTGCTCCTGAGCAAGGCCCTTAACCCCAACTCCTCCAGGGGCGCCGTACAATGGCAGACCCTGCGCTCTGACCCCAAGCTCTCTCCCTGTCTGTGTGTCTGTGTGTCTCATGGAGAGCAAGCTGGGGTATGCGAAAAGATAATTCCTTATGCAAGAAATTGTAAAGGGTTAATAAAGTGATGTTATTATTATGATTATGATGATTATTATTAACTTTTTCTCATCACAAAAACACAGTATGTATGAGAAATATTATATATATATACTTTCAAGGTCTTTTGACTTTTTTAACAATTGCAGTTAACACTTGTTCCTGTATCTTTTTAGGATATACATGCATAATAACTATACTGTATAAAAGTTTTAAAATCATACAAAACACAAACACCTACTGCATTCAACTGACTTACCCTTATAGTGCACCAATTAATTTCTCAATTTTAAAACCTATGTAGTATTTATTTTTACCTAGTTTTATTTGTATATTTCCTTGTTGTTGCAGGGAAAAGCCATTATTTCTAATTTCACAGACAAATTTCCCTTTAACAGATTTTGTCAGTTAAATCTGTAGCCCGTTACAAACCAAAGGTTTACAATGTTGATGTTTTCATCTGCAGCAAACTCCACAGTGTCTTACAGGAGAGTTTGTGCTGAGTAGAGGAGCAGCATCTGTCCCTGACATCGATGCAAACCTGAAGACTCTCAGAAAACCACCAGGGGTCACTGTTTCACAAAAGCACCCTGGCCAACGAATCCCAGCCTGACCTCTAGCAGAACTCAACTACTTGTGCGCCACTGCTTGGGTCACTAGTCACAGCTGACTATGGCATGACTTTGACAACTGGTGAAAACAGGTGACAAGTGGGCATGAAGTCCCCCTGCACTCGGGGTGAGGGCCTTTGACTGGTTGGCATATCCCAGGACCCCCATATTCAACTGTTTTCCATCTTGCTTTCTAAAAGGGAAGTAAAAGCATCTCAAAGTCCACCATCTTCCAAACACTTCCCCATTGGCTTAGTAAAAGACAGTTTTCACCCCCACGAGAAACACACCCATTGCCTCCATTTCAAGGACACAGCACTGGACGGACAGCCTTCCGCGATCCTACACCCTCCAGGATACAGAAGTAATAAGAACTGAAAACGACTGGGAAATCCTCATTACAGAAGACAAAAGTGTTCTAAGTAAACAATCTGAACAAAAGAAAAGACATTTAGCTAGACACACTGGATTCAACAAAAGGTGAACAGGGTGGATACATACCATAACGGCACCCCACTCTGATGTTTTGAACACTATTTAAACCAAAGTGCCAAAGTGTTATAAGGAAGTGTAGAAGGAGCAAACATTTGAAATAGCAAACAGACCCCCACAAGGAAGCCTTACTACCGCAAGCTTACAGCACAGTCCCGATACCACTTTTACACAAAATGCTTATATTGATCTGAATTCTAAGGGTGAATCTGAGAGATACTGCAAAAATGCTCAGGCCTAGTATAGCTATGCCCAGTATATATTGAAATTGATTGATTCATATCTTTAAAGAGTTATTTTTTCCCCTCAGTGGGACATGGATATAATCTGAACAAGCAGAAAAGCTTGCAACTGTAACCTTTGTGTTCAGCTTAAAAAAAAAGATAGCGCTGTTCCCTGGAGTGCATTTCAGTTACACATAGTAAAACAAGTAATAATAAAACAGTAACATTGGATGCCAGTTGGTTAAGACACACAGATTAAACAAACAAATGAGAAAACAAGTTAATTCACAAGAACAAACCATGACATGAGCTCATTAATCGACCTGGATCCCAGACACGAAGGAGGAAGCAGGCTTCATGGCCTGGTGAAGGTACGAAGTTCTCAGAGTCCACAAAGCTGAACAGAAATCAAACAAACCAATAACCAATAGAGCACACCGGTCACGAACGGGTAAACACAGGGAGCTGAGTGTGATAGATTGTGCTTATTCCCCCTGCACTGCAAAGCCACGCAACAGAGGGAGAACCACTGAGGCAACTGTTTACTAGACAAGAAATTTCGGCTCAGGTTGCTGCAAAAAAGGAGCAAATATCATCTTCCGGGGGGACTAACCACTGAGTGCACTAGAACCATCGGCGCCCCGATTGCCATCACAGAGGACTCCTGCGGGTCTGCTGTAAATTGGGCAATTGCACTGCAACATCAGATTCTGATCTGGCAAGACCAGACTGACAACGGCTTTTGCTCCAGAACGCAGTTCAAGTTTCATTTGCGGAAAGTTTTCACAGAAAAACATCGCCATGTCCGTACACTTGATTCTGCGATTTAAAATGGAATTCTAAAGAGTAAAAACATGCACTGGAGCAAAATACTTTGAAAGCGATGGTGACATGCTCATGAATAATGTGAAAAGAAATCATGGTGTCAAAGTGTCTGGTTGGAGTTCAGTTTCTAATTCAGTTTATAGGATCTCATTACGGCATTCACATTATTCCCAGGAGTAAATGTCCTATTTTGCCATATAACCAGAATGTTTTGTAAGGAATGCAGACACTATACTTTTTAAACTTTTGTCTTTTCCAGTATGGAAAGAAGAACAGTGAGAAAATAATATAAAAGAGAGCGATCCTGACAGGTCATCCAAAACTCCAACCTTTATTATGGCTTCATTATTTTCCTGTGGATTTGCTCCAGTGCCTAAGGTAATGTTTTACTTCCACAGGTTCAATTTTTTTTGCTCCTCATGTGGGCAAAAATCTGTGCATAACACTTTGACGTATGGCGTACTGAGGGAGAGTGGCAGTTAAAGAAGAGCCGACTATTTCGAAAGTAAGGTCTGCATAGGTGCTTAAGGTCCCGAACGGCCAGCATCTGCACTCTGAGATCATGTTAATCACACCAAGTTTTCATTTCTGAGAGTGAATGCTAGTCAATATTTGGCATCTGTCAATAATGATAAAAATCATTATAACATATCATGGACAACTGGTTCAAGTCTGGGTGATGGGGTCTGCCGACTGCAATTTGCCAAGCAGGAGCACACAGCTCACCCTGTGTTGCTGCAGGAACTAGTTGGCCAGGCCTCTCTCTGCTCCCAGCACAACAGTGAACCCGGTCAGTTTCCAAGCACTTGCCAGTTTACAGTGACAATAGTGTTCAACATGCCTGTCCTCCAATTGGTGCTGAACCTAATGCGTGTCATTGCAGATCTAACAATGTATGCATGGCAAATGGCTTAATGAGTGGGCAGCTCAGAGGAGCATGTTCTGCACTTCCTCATTCTCGTCAACCAAGACGTAAAGACACAATGGGTATTCTACATCAGGTGGGTCTATAACATAGTCTGTTGTCTCTGAAATGAAAAAGGTCTTACTCTCACCATGGAAGTTAAATATTACATGACTAAAGTGTGAATTATTATTGAGTCATATCTGAGTCACAAAGACCAAAATTTAAAAGCAAATAGCATTGACTAAAATATCTGAAAATTGTATCAAGTGTTTTTGTAGATGTGTCCCGCTCAAAAAAGGAAATCTCTGTTCTAATCAAAAATTACAGTGGATGAAATGAAAAGTGCTTATTATGACGAGGAGAGCAGATACCCTACACTACAAGTGCCATTGTGCAGAAGAAAGGAGTCGTGACAACAAACTGCCAAACAGCCACAGCAAGACATAGCCAACAGCCTGGCAGAAGTGCAGGCTTCTGCCTCTTTACTGATCTTTGTAAAACAGTTAATAACCTAATTTCACTCAGATTTCTAGCATGCTCGTATAACAAGTCTGCCCGCTACAAGGTTCAACACTAACCTCAACAGGATCAAAGCCTGTTTCCTGGACTCAAATCCCCCATCACACTAATCCTCTGGTCAGTCTGGTGAGGGGTGTGCTGGCCTAACGACAACTGTCAAGCTGTACCCGAGCAAAGGGGTGACTGAACATCAGTGCATGCCTGTTGTGTCCACATTAAAAGACTTGAGAAGATGACTGTATTGAAACATACAGTATATATACACACATTGTGAATGTCTGAGGTTCAACTCACTTTGAGTTACAAGAGGAAGCAAGACTCCAGACCAGACTTCCAACAGGCCTCCTTTCTCCACCCTTTTAAAACATGACTTGAGTGCTTTTAAATACACCTAGGGCCTTTTGTTTTCAGTGTTTTTTTTAATCACGTGGCATGCCTTTAACCTTACCATATGCTAATTTGGGTTCCCAGCTAAAAACACAAGGACTCTTATTAATTAAGAAACAAGGTGAGCTTTTCACTTCACTGGTGTTCACTGTTCTGCTTCACCAAGCCTTCAGGCAGAGATTACTGATTAACATCACTATATCCAGAACCTATTTAACTCGCATTTCCATCCCGCAGCGCCAGTTTAGCACAGTGAGGATTTTGTATAGTTGCACACATGTTCCACCAGCAGTTAAATGAATTGTCCAGACAAATCCCTAAAAAAGAGATGCATGTAGTGTAAAGTAATCACAGGTACAATGATTCAAATCATTGTAATTAAAAATAGGAAAAAAACATCCTAAGCTGAAATGGCAATGAATTTTCATTAAACTGGGATCTTGAGAAGACAGAGAGGTAGGCAGTTGGAAAATGAACAGCCCTATAAACACCTTAGTGTAGTGCTGGGCAATATAAAACATATAGAGGGCTGAACTGCACCTGTGGCTCTAAATTGGCTCAAGTGATACAGCACTCACTTTAAGGAACAGAAGAATCAGCAAGACCATGAGCATCACAAGTTTAACTGCCTCTTACTGGGACAGATGCTTTGAAAACATCTGTAACATCTGATGGAAAAATGAGTTGCATTCTGTGAATCTCTAGAGAGGGGCCACCTGTTATTTCTCTCAAGGGTCCACGCCACTGCCTTAGGGACACCAGGACGCACCCTTCACTCTCAGCATCCTGCCTGTAGTCCTGTGTCGGCTGATCAACTCCCCGACTGCCCTCATCCTGCAACACGACGTTCCGATAGTTTTGAGCCGGTTATTCTTATTTGCCAAGTCGGAGACGTCAGGAAACCACACCACACTCTGGCCTAGTGCCTGGGGATTCCTTCTTCAAATGCACAAATCCCACCTGTGGCTAGATTATTAAGGGCAGGTCAAAAAATCAGTTACAAAACATGAATATCTATCAAAAAAGAAAATCACAGAGCCTTGGGCTGCAGCAGCATGTCATACTATTTTGAAATACCCACAGCTTTAGACTTAACACTCCCCTCTATGGCAACGGAAGACTTGTGAGTCTTTTGCTGTGGTCATTGTCCTGTTGTAACAGCTTGAAATCCATGGCTTCAGCTCTCTCATCGCATATACGTATATTTACATATATATCTTTTGTATCTTAAATTAATATTTCTCTATATCATTGTCATGATTGATTCTTTTCTAGTACATATCTTTGTAGATCTCCTGCAGGAGTGGGTGTAGTGAGGTCTCAGACTCGGTCTTTTTTATTTTTTGGACGAGCTGCGCGTTCTCGGTCACCAGCTGCCGCAGGTCGGCCATCTTCTGCAGCAGCTTGGGGAAGAGGTACAGCGAGTCGGGGTGGTTGGCCTGCAGGTGCAGGTTCAGGGCCTGCAGGATGTTGTCTTGGATCTCCTCCACCTGCTTCACGCTCATCAGGCCCGGCCGATCTGCCAACACACCGACCACAGCGCGTCAGAGGACAGCAGTGCACCCTGCAGCGCACTCCCCCCTGCCTGCGACACAAACCTGCGTTAAGGTTCCTGCTCTCCCTTAAAAGGGAGAAGAATCAGCCACTACAAGCTTTTTCACAGTCCCTGTTCAGTAATCCTGAACTATACAGTGACACTACAGGTAAGAATTCCTAGAGCTACTGCAATACAGGATCTGTGAAACGACCCTCTGATACTCTAAAACCAAGGGGAATCTTTAATTTACACAGGTGTAACCCTAAAACAAAATTATAATAAATATGAGCTCCCTGATACCTCTGAAACAGTTCTGCAGTTACACAGTAAGGCCAGAGAAGGCAAGTCCAGTTTGCACTGGATATGGCATACATAATAATAATAAATCGATTCATTTAATACGACAAAAAACACCAAAGGCTCTGGCCCTTTAAGACACCTAGGATTGTAAAGGACTGTAACCTAATCTCTGAACAGAGCCCTCAGTGGCATTACAAGGTACTGAAAACACTATGGAGTCTTGTCCAATGCTCACTCTCCACTGCTGTCTGGCAGTCTGACACCGTATCAGAGTGTGTTATTCCACCTTGGCCAGTCTCACCTCCACACAGGATGATGGCGGCCACGAAGAGTGCCAGGTCGCTGTCGTCCAACTCCAGGGCATTGAACTTGACCGCGAACTCAAACTTGGGTTCCATGATCTCGTTGAAGGGGCGCCGCAGGCTGCGCAGGAACTCCCGCGTCACGAAGCCCTTGCCGTTGGCAACCAGCAGCCCGTCTTTGTTCATCAGCGAGGGCAGCATGGCGAAGATGGCCTCATGTACACCGTACTTCAGCAACGTGACCTGGAGGACAACCATTCCAAAGGGCTCAGATTACCCCCTCACCAGGGAAACAAGTCAACCTGCACAGAACCACAGCCTCAAATGGCATCTTCTCTCTTCTGTATCCAGAGCTGTAAGCTTATCTACACCTAGCACAGAAAATCCATAATAATTCCTACACCATCTACTCTGACAAACATCTATACAGGAGCATGAAAAGTAACATTCCTCTGTGCAGCCATTCTGTCTAGAAGGACCCTTTAACTCTCACTAACTGTACAGAGAGCTCCTACACCTCAATGTAAAAAGCTCACCCCTGCAGTCACATTTTCATTTTTCGGTCATGATTTTTTTTAATTTAAAAAGAGTGTTGTGGTTTGACCTTGTGTCATCTTATGTTACACAGTACATACCATTACCATGTGTCTCTTCAAACTAGAACTCCCCCATCTGTAACTTTGGTCTTGTGTATCTTGATTAGGCTTGTAAAGTCTTTGTTGGCTCTATACCTATGTGCCCAGGCAACCCTACCACAACATAACTCATAACCATTAATGCTGGTTGGGGTACACTAGGCTCTACAGCAATGATTACTGGGCTACGTACAGCTTTACGTGGAGTGTGCTCCCAATAACCTATGACCTCTCACCTGGTCATTGAGGAAGAGCCCCACAAAGCCGGGGATGTTCTTGGCAAACTCCGTGAGTTCCCGCACAGTCTCCACAGTGGTGCACTGGCACCGGTAGAACACGTGCACCCCGATCTCCTTGTTGGGGGGTGCCCCATGGATCAGCTGGTTCCACACCAGCCCATTCTCCGCCTGCCAGAGTGAGTCCATGTCATGGATCACAAAGGGCTGCAGAGACAAGATGCCCACAATTCACCGATAGCTGAAGTCGTACCACAGTCAGGAAAAGATGCATATAGAAAGAAAATGCTCACACATTTCTACATTTTTTGAGATTTCTGTTTCCTGACCTTCTGAAATGTCAAATGACTAAAAAAGTTAAAAATTTGCACAATGCACAAATAAAAACACAAAACAAAGAATTCAGCACACAATTTTGTTTTGCAAGTACTGCGTGAAAGTTATAAATCACTCTGGGTTCTTGTTTATAAAGTAAACAGAGTTCTGCAGCATTACAAGGAGCACCTCTGGGCCAGACATAGCCAGCTGCATCTTTATCACAGCACTAGAAAACCTGGACGCCTCCACCACATCACATCACCTCACCATCTGTGAAGTTTATTTTAATGCGGCAAGTCTTCGGTTGCACAATATGGTCTGCTAACAACCAAATGAGCTACACAGGCCAAACCTCCTCTGGTCTGGAAACTCCTCATGCTCTTATGATCTGTGCCGGGGCCTTGCGCGTACCGGGTTCGAGCTGGTCTTGCCGGTCAGGATGCTGCGTGCCTTCTTCTTGGTCATGTTGAGGTTCTTCAGGTAGGCGTTGTTGACGTGCTTGGCCAGCGACTTGAGGTCGGAGCCGCCGGGGCTCTGCACGTTCATCTCGCCAGCCAGCAACCCGGCCACCAGCTTCCTCTTCTCCGCCTCCGGCATCCGCCCGTACCGGATCGCTGCCACGGCCGCAGACACAAATCGGTAAAGACTCTGGTCTAGTTTTTTTTAAACTGTTGCCATTTCACCCCCCTCACTTACTTGCCAGCTTGTTTTGAGTTTAGATAATATGGTCATATGAGCTGAAGTGAGGAGCTACTCGGCACCACCAGGACAGGAAAGAGAAGGGCTGGCCTAAGACTTTCTGGCACAAAGCTAGAAGGAAAGAACTTGCAGACAGCAGCTGGATGAAAACCCATCATCAACGTTCTAACACGCTTTAGGTTTTTTTGGTGATGGCGCTGCCAGGAGTGCCTTCTCTCGCCCAAGTGCCTTGCAAGTAAATCCACCTAAACAGCAGTAAATATTTGCATCACCCACTGAATACATCTGCCCCAAATCTGAGAGCAGCACAGCCCAGATGAGAACCTGCAATCTCTATCTACAACCTAAGTTAAAGTCTTCTACCTGAAGGACCTCTAGCATCTTTTATAGCTTTACACTGAAAGATCTGGCTAATGGTTTTCAAAGGGGAGGCACCCAACAGTGTTTGACAGATATGTACAGAGTTAAATGAAACGGGGAGCAGATGGTTGTAGAGAAATGACTCAAGACAAATGTGCTTCTTTAACACAAAAATAGTTGTGGATGGGTCGGAACCAGGCTGTTCAAGGAGGGCTCGGGAAAACAGCTGTGTCGTGAATTTAAGGGACACAAAACGCAAAAAAAGCAGGCCAGTAAAGCAGGATCTGTGGGCGGCGGCAGCGCTGCGTGGCGGACTGACCGTCATGGGACATGCCCAGTGCCAGGCACTTCTGGAACCGGCAGTACTGGCACTTGTTGCGGCTTTTCTTCTGGATCTTGCAGCTCCGCTCACACCGCTCGTACTCCAGCTTCATCCGGATCGTCCTCCGGAAAAAGCCCTAGGAAAGGAAGGAGCTGAATTCATGTCTAGGAATAACGGAAGGAGAAAAGGGAAGACCAGAATGCTGGTTCTGCCGTGCTCTGCTTTAATTCAGACGTCAACAGATATTAACAGCGTATCTTACTGATGCTCATAAATGCTTATAGTTCAATAACTATCAAAATAAATGAAAACATTAACAATACAACCAAATACATTTCAATATATAAATAATTCCTATAAACAGACTATTTTCATTTAAGATGTATGTGGGACAAACTGATTTTTCATTAAACAGCCCCAGACTGTAAAAGCCAGTCCTGGAGCCCCTACTTCTTCCTTTTTTTAAGCACACCCACTGAGAGCTGGTGTATGGTGAGCGTACTGGCGCACCATGGCTGCCGTCGCATCATCCAGGAGGGGCTACACATTGGTGGTGGTGGAGGGCAGTCCCCATTACCTGTAAAAGCACTTTGAGTGGAGTGTCCACAAAAGTGCTATAAAAGTATGAGGAATTATTATTATTACCGGTTAATCATTAACATTCACTGGCAATGTGATCACAAAACATAGCCACGGTACTGTTTTGTACCGTGAATTTAAATTATGGCATGGCGTTCTGGAACTTTCTCATACTACGGCGAGTGTTTTTTTCTTTATTTTCCACGACGCTGGGAAGTCTGGGCAGGTTTTCCGTGGTGACCGGGGGTCCTGCCCACAGTGGGAAGCAGTACCTTGCAGCCCTCACAGGCGTGAACTCCATAGTGGAAGCCAGAGGCCTTGTCCCCACAGATGCGACACTCCACGTTGATGCCCGAGCCCGGCCCGTCCTCACGGCCCAGCCGCAGCTGGTCCGACAGAGAGGGAGAGGACGTCTGGGACAGGTCTGGGGCGGGAGGGAGGGAGACAGAGACGGCGACACTGACAGACTGAAATTCACAACCACCCGCTCAATACAGAGCCCCATTGCAGGTAAAAACAGGCAGACTTGATGCGTGAGATGGAGACAACACCAGCGACATCTGCGTCGGGTGCCCTGGTACCTCAGGGTCTGAGGCAGACGATCACGCACAAAGCACAATTCCCACCATTCCCCCTCCACACAGAATATCGCTTTTTCTTATTTACAGGAATAAAGGGATAACTTAAAAAAAAACAATTTGGGGTATACTGATGACTTGTAGCAGCAACACAAAAACAAATGTGAGATATCAACTTGAAAAATAAAGTTAAACATTATAAAACAACGTAGGGACTAAGGACATTCACTGCACACGGGAGCTATGGAAGAATGCGGTACCTGTGTAGCTGCTGGAAGGGGCAGGGCTGTCCGGGCTGGTGGCTCCATAGCTGTTTGTACTTGTTTCTAGCCTGTCCCCCTCCAGTTTTGGGGTGTCTTCCTGGCCCCCCTCCGGTGAGTGCATGTCCCACACCAAGCCATTGGGGGTCCCTTCCAGTCCGGTCCCGTCCAAAGTGCCACTGAGCTCTATGCTCCTGATGCTCCCCTTTTCAGCAGAGCTCAGCTCAGCCTGGCTGCTCAAGTCCCCCAGGTCTGCGTGGGCTCCTGGCAGTCCTGCTACCTGGAGGGAGCACATGTCCAGCTCGGGCCCCTGGTGCGGGCTCCCCGCGCTTGCCTGTCCCCCTTCCTCCCCCTCCGGCCCGGCCACAGTCCTGCGCAGTTCCCCCTCCGGGCTGAGGCCCAGCGAGGAGAGTCCGTCCTGTGACACCTCCCCGTTGTCGAGGTGGGCTGCCGGAATCTCCTGGACCATGGTCCCCCCCACCCCTGTCGTCTCTCCCACGCGCCGGGCTGCAGGCCCTGGGTCCTCGGTGCCGACTCCCAGACCCTCGGGCTGAAGCCCTGCCATGGCACGCGTCTTCCCCACTACCGGCCAGCTCCTTCCGTCATGGCGCCGCCGTCGCCGCCCTGCTGGGACAGAAAGTCACGAGTCCATTCAGCTGCTCGTAGTTCACCCCTCCAAAGACGGCCATTTCCAGACGGACCCCTGGGAATCAGCTACACACTTTTTCCAAACCTCCCACAACCTTCCCGGAGTGAAGACGTGCTTCCTGATTTCAGTCCTAAAACCTCCCCTGCTTCACTTCCACACACAGGCAGGCCGTCGGATTCGTGGGCTGGGTCTTTTTTTTACGCCGTGCCCAATTTCGTTGACTTCAAACCCAAGCCTTCTGCAAGTTAACACATTCCTTCCTGCTTACATTTCTGTACTGAAACTTTTAAAGAGCCGTGAAAATCATCATTTGCTTTTATAATATTGAGATATTCCTTGCTAAGTGCACCCAGGTAAGCTTTATGGAGAAGAAAACGTATCCGCTGTCGGACCGAGCTTGTGACATCTTCCATCTCAGAACAACACCAACTTGAAATGAAATAGAAGCTTCTTAAAGATGGAGCTCAGGATGTCTTTACATATTTACAGACCTTTTATTGCTACCGGGAAGGAAGATTATTGCAAAAGAATAGTTTAGGGATTTAAAATTGTGCACTGACGGCCTAAAATCCATTTGTAAAGATTTCATGTCCAAGCATGAAATGCGTGCCTTGTTTCTTATTCTGGACAGTCTGTGAGATAGTGTGAATAGCGATTCCTGCACGTCAATGTCTAAATGAACTAGAAGAAAGTATTTGGACTTTTTGTTTCCAAAAATAAAGAAAACAGAAACCACCTTTTAAAATCATGATTTTTACCCTACACCCAATCAGTTTGGAATAGCCAATTGTGTGCTTTAGGAATTAAATGACTAATTACACCTTGGCGCATGCACCCACAAACAGGGGAGAATAAGGAGGTGTGGGAGCGCCCTCCTTCATGCTCCCCCTCTTTCAACAAGTCCCAGCAGCACAGCCCTGGGCAAGAGGCCAGCGCTGAAGGGAGGAGAGGTGCAGCAATCACCTACAGCATCACGAGCCCGCCAGAGCTACAGAGACACCTGGTCAAATAGTCCCACTCTTACACTAGGCTGCGTTCAGGCAAGTGCAACACTGCTTGGGGCATCTGGTCACAGTCAACCAGTGAGAAGATCCATGCTCAAACCCACAGCACCTGGATTAAAGAGGTCAACCAAGGCAAGCACCTTCACCAGTTACTCAGGAACCCCAACAAACCAATTTAAGGTGACCTTCAGCAGCTATCTGCAAAAAAACCACACTTTTCTAAGACGACATCAACACCAGAACTGCCCTGCCACCTCTTCAAAACTTAAAAGGAGCTTCAAAACAGTCAGAAGCACAACATGGGTTAATGTGTGAAAGATCTTATCAAAGCATGCAGTCTATATGCTTTTGAGACAGTTTCTCTGCCTATAAAAGAACTGCTAAAAAGAAGAAATAAACGTCATCAGCATTAAAATCAAGATGTCATGTGATGCTCTTTCTCCATATCATCAATAATCACCCTTGTTTGATGCGTGACAGTATATGTGTGTGTAGTCTCATTCTTGATGAAGTGAGAGGCTTTGCACTTTCTGAGGCAGAGTGATCCATCTGGGACTTTTGACTTGCTGGAGTGCCTTTGTGTCTCTATCTGCAACTCTGAGACAGGGCATATGTGCAGGCTGTGTAGGTTATCACGCAGTCTTGTCTGCGTGCACATGTAACTTTGCTAGCTATTGAGGACGTTGTACAGTTTCTAAGCATGCACATGTGCCAGCAGAGAGTCATCTTCATAATAGTTACATGTTCACTTAAATGTTAGTTGGTCTACAGCGTACAGGCACATCTGAGAACGAAGATCAGAGCTTTTGGGTCTCCATATAATAACACCTGTCCATGGCCAAGGTCTGAATATCTTGTTTTGTCTGCTCACAGTATCTGACTAAACCTTCTCCCATATTCCTTGGTTATGCTGCGTGCTGATCTGTACACATTAGTGAGCATAGCCTTCTCTGTCCTTAGACACTGAGAAAGACAGGGCAGCAGTGAGGTGTGTGCATTCAGACGTAAGATCTGGGGTAGCTGAATATATTCTAGTCCAATATCTTGCTTCTACTGGCAAACAGGTGCAGACACAGATGCAAGACACAGGGGCAGTGCGGTGGCTCTGTGGCTAATGATCTGTGCCTGTGGCTGGATGGTTGCCGGTTCGTATCCCGTGGCCGGCAGAGGAATCCTACCCCGTTGGGCCCCTGAGCAAGGCCCTTAACCTTATATATGGCTGACCCAGCGCTCTGACCCCAAGCTTCTCTCCCTGTCTGTGTGTCTGTGTATCATGGAGAGTATGTTGGGGTTTGCGAAAAGTCAAATCCCTATATTGTTTAAGTGATCTAATCTTAAGAAAGAACTACACTCTGGACAAAACAGTCCATCACAGGGCACACAAAGCACACAAGTACAATTCAGAGCCAGACAGCATTCCAGCCTCAAAAGCAAAGATGCAGGAAGGCAGAGCATCCAGAGACAACTCACGTGGATACAGGGTGAATATGAAAACTCCTCACACAAGCCACCCCCGCTCAGAATGGAACCGAGGACTGATAAGCTGTGAGGCAGCAGCACTAAGCCCCCGAGCCGCAATGCAAAGAGGGCAAGCGCACTCTAGAGCTCACCCCAATCCAGCAGCAGGACCCAGGGCTCGTCCTAATTAGACCTGGAGGGTCACTATTCGGTGTGTCCTGGGCTATGAATCGCCACAGGCTAATTAAGTACAGTAATAAAGTAAGGACACAATAAATGGAGCAGAGGTGACTCAACTGCAGCATCCAGTGAAAGTAAAAGCATTGGTCTTCACACCGAAATAGAAATCTTACACTGCTTTCCAAGGCAGCTGTACTGTATTTGCCTTCATCCCCCCAAGGATCAATACAACCTAATTTGAGCAGGGGAAAATTTGTAACCTCCCTGTAACATTAATACCTGAGCACACATTAACTGTTCTAATTTTTATTTTATTTCAGGCAGTAGCTGGTGTAGCACCACTAGACCAAACAAAAATGCTTCTGGATTTTTCATGGGCAAGTATTATATTCTTTACCTCAACACAAAGATTGTACTGTAAATTTAAAAACCAATATTTTTAACCAGCAACCTCATATCTTTAGAATTACCCACTTACCTACTGACTCTCAATTTTAAACAATTTGTTCAGGATTACTTTTCCTATTTGCTCTGAGACCAAGGAAATAACCAGTGCAACACTCTGGTCTGAACAGACACCCCCCTTCCTAGTGAGGATGAGGTTAAAGAACAATGGAATGTGTTTTGCAATTGCTTTGCTAAAAACTGAACTTTAGTAGCATTCAGATCCTCAAGGCTGCCAATTAAGCTGACCTCGGGCCTCAATGCCATCGAAATTGTCTGCAATCCTCTATTGGACAGGCCTCACAACTGTACAGAAGATTCCGGAAGACACTCCTGAAGGATGTTCATTTCGACCAATCTACAGTACTGGCGCAAAACAATTTGGAAATAAACAGAAAATTATCCATTTCTGAAGTAACAACTAAAGGTTTATTCCATGCTGAAAAGAAAAGAGACACAATGTTTTGGCTCAAGAAGGCTCCACAGCCGAATCGCTGTCTCTTTTCTTCTCAGCACGGAATAAACCTTTACTTGCTCCTTATGCAGCCCACGCACACTGACGCAGCTACCTACTCGAACCCTTTCTAAAGCAGGCTGTTTTCACAGTGCGTTTCTACAACCTCCAAACTTTTAAATCTTTGAAAATCTCCAGCTTTGCAGAGATTAGGAAGAACCAAAGAGTTTATTCATTCCCCCAGACCCCCCGCCCCACACTAAACAAGAGCCGATTAGCCTGAAATTAAAGCGGCTGTCCACCCATTGATAATCTGCAGGCAGAACAAGAAGACCCGTTTCGTAAGAGGGAGGGAGCTGTCAGGGGACGGCAGGAGTGGCGTAACAGGGTCACAGACTGCAGGCAGACAGGGAGTGAAAGGAATAAGTCCAACAGAAAGGACCGAGACTGAAGCCGGAGGGCTCACGCAGACATCACACAGACATCTACAGTCTTAGACTGCAAGCTTTGACACCCTGTCTTAATCAGTTCATTCAAACGAACTTTATTACCACTTCGAAGCACAGTTAAAGAAACAATACCCATTTACAGTTCATGGTTAAAGTGAAGTGATCACTCTGTTTCAAGTCCAGGATGCACCAAGCATAGTGAACAACACCCGTCCTTTTACAGCCAAATGAGTAGTGGATCACACAATGTTAGCAGTAAGAATATTCAGTTATGTGGTAGCAGAAAAACACAACCATGAAAGTCTGAGAGCCTCAATGGTAGGAATAGCGAATGGACGCACTCTTGCAGTGTGACTTTGTTCAGTGCTCCATACACAACTGCAGCGCACAGACTCTTAGCTTGCTTTCTTGATGGCTCCCTGCTGTTCAGTTTCTCAACTAGCAGCCTGAGCACTTCCAAAGGCAGACGCTTCCCAGTGCATGAGCACAGCTCCTAGGACTGGCACAGAGCACACAAGCAGAGCTGCACTGACACAAATGGACCCTGCAGTTTGGATCTGTGCCGTTTACACTGGCCGCAAGATGAAAGGCAATGCTGGGGGGGTGGAATGGAAAAAAACAGAAGTTTGTGAGATTTCTTTGTGCTACATCGAAGAGCTGAACAATCACTAGGGTTAGCGCATGCCTTTCTAAAAATTCTTTTTAAGAGAACCTGGAGTTGTCTGCAAAGGATCCAACCCTAGATTACATAAAAAAGTGAAATTCTACAGTACAAAAAACACAGTTATTAGTGTTTGTAAATCAGTAACTTTATGGCATTTCTTCTTTTGCATCAGGTCTGGCCTCTAGTGTGAAAGTCAAATACTGCCGAAAGTATAACATTTTACCCCATTCTGTAGCTGCTTCATGTTGGGCAAGAAAAACCCCTGATGTTATGATCAGACAGAGATCATACACTGGCAGATGATTTAAAGGAAGATGATGAC